TATATAGCATTGGAAAACATGTTTTTATAAATAGATTTATTAAAATTAGGATCCTTTTTGGAACTCAGTGATGTTTATTAGAATTTGTGAGCAGGATTTAGTGTACGTAGATTGTTAAAGAACATCTGGATGTTCCAACAGCCAGGGCTTGTTACACTAAAACGCCCAGTTACCATTATTATTGGATGTACATGATGGCTATGGTAATGTCCGATTGAATATGGATCCGATGACCCTCCAGTAGAATGGTTCAATGCTGCAGAGATGGTCAAATTGTCCAAGGGTCCAGAATGTTGATCGGAGGATGAGATTCCTCTGACAACCGAGACACCAGCACTGACAGGGTGCCCAAAACTCATGCCCAGTGGCTGGCATTCGGCATGGCATGACTCCAGGCTGTACACAATGGCACCATCAGTAACCATGCAAAAAGCAGCCCTGAAGCGGTTAGTAGAAAGCAAGTGCACCCCGTGTCTAGTATCAGACATGTTGCGACTGTGTGGTGGTAAGGCAACATCTACTGTATGCTCAAAGTAAGAGGCAAAGCCTCAGGTACTGTCAGAACCTGGACAGCTGGTAGCAAGTCAGGATGGTCAGAGGTGACCAAAGTCAATGTAGGCGAGCTCCAGGAAAGGATCGAAGATCAGAGATCCACGTGGCTCTTGCAAGCTGGAGCAGAAGCAGAGAGATATTTTCTTGATGCCGTATGGCAGAAAAGGAAGGAAAGAGCATGCGGAAAAGAGAGCGCAGAGTGCACGACACTCAGTTCCACAGCGTTAATTCCTACCAGTGGCAAAAAAAAACAAGGTGAAGGGGGACAGCAAATAAAGGCACCCAGTGACTTACGCAAATGAAGTAACTCCTAGTTCTCAGCCTGACTAAGTCTCCAGAGAAAGGGCAACAGCTCAGCTGATGCAATGCCAGTGGCTCAGAGACTGGTAAGCAGTCTGCAGCTAACTTTCAATAGAATGGATAATGAAAAGCACCCCAAGTGGCAACCAGTGCCAAAGGTCACTTTCAGGCTATCTCTGCAACGTCCAGACCAATGGAGTATGAGAAGAGCCTTTATCGAAGGAAAAAAAAAAAAGTGCTAGCAAAAAAACAGGTTAGTCTTTAACACAGCAAGAGGTGAAGAAAAGACATCCATCCTCCTATGACACTAGTAACAAACTGAGGCATGTTAGTAGCAGGAGGTTATTATCCTGGGCTGCCCTTTTTTTTGGTTTGCCAGTATCCAATCCTCCTGTAGGCGACACTTTAACTAAAAGTTTAAATCTTGCTGTGTCCCTCAATAGACAAGAAAGAAAACAAAATCCTAAGTGTATGACTGTCCCCTGCTCAAATAGAGAGTTTTTTTACTTGTATTTTTATGTCGGTGTCATTTCCTTGAAGCATACAGTTGTCAAAATGGCTTCATTAAGAGGTGGAAAGGTAACCAAATTAATAAGAATGGCAGATTTTTTTTCTAAAAATCACAGTGTAACATGACTATGTGTCCCAGAAGTCCAAGTCAAAATGTACTTTGCAGCAGTAGATCTCAGTGCCTGTACCTGCTCTCAATAGTAGTCATGTCCGCCCTCTCTGTGCAGCTTCTTCCTTCTGGGAGCCAAGCCTCGTTCTGAGGCTACTCTTGAGATCACATGACCTTCCTCCAGGAGGCAAGCCTCACCTCTGAAACCTTACCCACTGATATCTTACCGGAAAGATTTACTCAGAGTAAACATTTCAGGGAGAAAATGCCTCTCTTGCGGACGTCAGGGAGCCGCTATCTAATAGAGGGAGACTCCCTGAACATCAGGGAGACTTGAGATCCCTGGTACTGTGAAACCTGCCGTGCTATTCTTACTATGTCTTTCTTTCTATGTCTGTGTTTATACAGATGAGCAGTGAGAGTCCCGTATGTTTCCTGCAGGCAGGACGTTTAGGCCCTTGGAGGCCACACACACATAGGCCAGCAAGGAAAGCTGTACATTCTGTCCCAGTTACAGTCACTGCGTGTTCCTCGAATCTTTACCAAGAACCAGCTACAGTTGTAAATAGGATGAAATTACTAAACCTCCAGCAAAGCACCTATGCTTAAGTTTACTCTTTTACAAGGAGATTTTGATATCACTATTTATTCATAGAGGCTTTGGTACGTAAAGCTAAACAGAGATTTGAAGAGGGCATTAGATCTTGCATAAGCCTTATTAACTACTGAAAGCAACAGCTTCTAACCAAATGGAAATAGGCTGAAAGCCACTGAGCTTATTTCAAATGTGTATTTTAGTAGTAAACATAATGCTGCAAAGGAGAAGCACAAGTCAGGTTGACTTTCAGTAAGGACGGGATTAGGTAGAAGTAAACCCTAAATGGATGGAACTTCGTTTGCTAAGGCACTGTGCATCATAAACAGCTAATTCTTAAAAAGAAAATAGTTTGTTGAATCTCAGCGTTGCTGAACCCTTGTGGGCTCTTGCAACTATTTCCTGCCTACATTCACTCCAGGAATGGCTTTGTTGTATTTCTTTATTCAGGTCCCCTAAGTGACAACTGTTGGCTATAAGGCAAGCCATCTGATGGTGACAACAGTGGACCATGACTGCATAATGTGTGCTGTAACAGCCACTTTTAGTCCCCAATGGAAGCCCATGCGGCAGGCTGACAAAGCAGCATGCGGCAAGGGGTTAAGACGGGGAAGACAGGGACAGAGTGTTGTTACCCTATAACAGGAAGTGACTTGAACAAGGACCTTCATGGCAGGATCACTAGGTGTTATTTTAATGAAAGTTGAAAATGTAAAAACATTGAAAAAGGATTGAAATGACAGTAACATTTTAAAGTTTATGTGATATTTTACTGACAGGGTTTTCATATACTTTAGGTGTACTTTTAAGACATTTTAAAATCCGCCTGCTATAATAATGGCACAAAAAGGTTCGGCTGTAAAAGGGCTGTGACGGACTCAACTCTTGTTTAGAGATAGAGCTAAAATAAATAGTTATCTGGATTTAGTTACAGAAGACTTTGCATTATTCTTATTTCAGCCAAATGTAATTAGAGAGCAGAGTTTCCAGTGCCACTGCCTAGTCCATACATGTTCTGCTCAGTCTATGTAGAAGTGTATTCTGGAAACACCATGTTTGTATAGCCTCAGACCACAAAGAGAACATTTTTTTTTTCTAGTTTCTCCTCATTTCCTCTAAAATCCTGTGAGATTTCACACACTACACCAAAGAAATCTGTCTAGATCACATGATCAGGACATCCCATTTGCAATATGCATCTCTCTGAAGATCCCCTTTATGTCAAAGGTCTAAATTAAGGGTAAAGCTTATTTGTAATCACCATAGCTCCCATGAGAAGGACGTTAAGATACAGACAATGCCCTATGCCTCAAACAAGACAGAGCTAATAGTCACTCAACATTATTGTAGGGAATCAACACAGATATTTTTTGGACTTACATTTCTCTTGTTCCTTAGTATCTATACATTCCTTGATAGAGTCTGTGATCCCCAAGCTTGCAGCAGTAGGCAGTGGTCCCAGAAGAGATTCTATAGGAAGTGGTTTTATTGTAGGGCTGTAACAATGTGATTGAGCCTTCTCTGACATTTCATTGTAAAAATCTTTATTTAGATGACTGGCTGCTGCTTCCAGTTCCTCATCCTCCTGATCATCTTCCAAAATGCTTGGTGTGTCTTCCATATCTTGAAAAACAGATTAGCATTAATATTCTATTTGAAGATCTGTTTAAGCAAAACTACATTTTTAAAAAGTCATATCTTTCCAAAAGCATTTCTGGGTGATGTGGCTGACCCAGACTCCTATGTTTTGTTATGTGTGCTGTGATCACAGGAAGGGGCTTCTTCCAGACACTAACTGAGCAACCTTTACTGGGCTAATTAAATAGGGATGACCCTGGGCTACCAACAATCTCTACCACTGAGTGGGGAGGTAAGGGTTATAGCATATTATCTTCTGAACTCTCATAGGTTTGCAACCACCCATGCTAAAAGTTTGGGGGATGTCTGATGCCTCCTACAGGATAAACCTGACCACCACACCTATGTAAAGAGCTTGCTGCACAACACATTGCAAAAAAATGGGTATTAACAAGAAGCTGGTGTCCCCTTTGTGGCTACAACAGCATCCACTCTTTTGGGGCAGCTTTCCACAGAAATTTGAAGTGTGTCTGCTTTAATTTGTGCCATTCAATTAAAAGAGCATTCGTGATGTCAGGCATTGAGGTTGGACACAAATACCTGATGCTATTCGTTTTCGAATTCATCCCAAAGGTGTTTAACAGTGTAGAGTTCATGGCTCTGTGCAGTCTACTTAAGTTATTCCACGCCAAACGTATCAAACCATATCAATATGGATCTAGTTTTGTACACAGGGGCACAGGGGCCCTTCTCCAAACTGTTGCCAAAAGATTAGAAGTGCAGTGTTATTAAAAATGTCTTTGTATGCTGTAGTAGTAGCAGCAATACCCTTTACTGGAAACCCCTGAACTCATTTGGGAGGAGTGTCCACGTACATTTGGCCATACAGGAAGGTGTGCCGGTCAGGTATCCACAGATCATGGCCATATAGTGTATATTTATCAGCACTGATTTGGGATTATGATCTACTGTTTAAAGGTTACTCTAAAATTTAAAACATCAGTAATTGGTTATAGATTATTAAGTCTCACCTTCATTACTGTAAGAAGCGTACATTCCTCTTGCTTTCGGCCTACTGTTGTCTAACTCGTTCTCAATTTCATCCTGGTAGGTTGTAATTTCTCCTGTCATTGCAAAACCACAAGGGTGAGCAAGGTGGCATCACAGTAACTTGTCTAGGCCGAACAGTATTAATCAACGCTTCTTACCTTCCACGTCATCCAGCTTTTTGGCCAGATCTTGTTGGAGCTACGAAGGAAACAAACCACCAGAAAATCACTACAGGATATTCTTTTGAAGGAAATCTTCAGAACATAGGAGCAGAGTATAATGAAATATCACATCTCTAGCAGTCCATTAGAATAGAACTACCCATACAACAGGTCAGGCGTTTGTCTGTTCCACTTTGCTTGTTCATCTGTCTTGAGAGGTATTCAACCAAACATACCAGGGCCCACCCCAAATTGAAAGTCAGTTTTTAGATAGATTTATTCTTTAAAGGTAATGTATAAAACAAGGGTAGTCAAACTTCAGCCCTCCCATAATGCATCCATCTCTGGAAGTCATGCCTGCGGCTTACAGTGTCTTGCAATGCCTAATGGGAATTGTAGTTTGGCCACAGTTGGAGGGCGGAAGTTTGACTACCCCTGATATAAAACATTGCCTTTAGGCACCTTTTAAACTTTCCTGGGCTATTCTTAGCTGCTTTGTTGTACAAAAACGTGAGCACAGCTTAAGAGCTGAACCTCATATGTCATACAGGTAAATGAGTGAACCTGCTCAGTTCAGATAGGTATATGGAGTTTTAATTAGAGCAGGAGAGTCTAAAGGGAATCAACTTCCACTGTGCTTTCTCTATAAAAATGCATAATGCTCTGTAACATCATAGGTATACCCTGTATTAAACTTTGATTTTGGGGGGGAAAACAAAATCTTCTTTGACTCCTCTCTTCCTAAGTCCGACTCGATTCTCCTTCTCTCCATTTATATCTAGATATACCAATCTACTCTCTTATATACTTCTCTACTCTCTCATTCTTCCAGAATGCTCTATTAACTACTTGACACTCCCACTATAACACTTCCTATATTAAAAAATGTTAGAGGGGGAAGGAAACCCCTGGAGTACCAGAGATTTCCCCACACACTTATAGGCGTTGGGTCTCCCCTCTCAATTGGACATACGCATTTTCCTTTACACATTGCCTGTGAATCCTTAGGGGATGACACACCACTTACGATGATACCTGTATAGAGATAAGTGACTGAAGAGCTAACACTGTCTTCAATGATCTGTATCTGTTGCTAAAGAGGAATTTTACCCATATCTTTGAAATGACAACAAACACACCTGAAATGGATAAGTGCAGGCTTTTATTTTTTGCATTCCTTATTTTTCTTTTCCTCCCCATTCTTCTACAATGGAAATTTATACTAAGGGCAAAGTAATCCATCCCCCTTTACTTCCTGAAACTCTGGCATGTGACAAGGATATGTGACCATGCAGAGCAGCTCAAGGGAGGAAAATACATTTCCCTGAGATTTCGTGAGATTACAGATGAGATTTCCCAGCAATGCACTGCTGATGTAACCTTCCCAGGATGCAACGGTTGGGGAAAGATTACATCACTAATGCCAAAGAGGACCAGAAAGTGGAAAAAATGGTAAGTAAAAGCAAAATATGTTTAATAAATGTAAGTTGTAAGATGATTTCATATGACATGCTGATGTGATTTTTAGTGAAAAGGTCAGCTTTAGGTACTGGAATTATATTGTTCTATGATGGAATTTCACACACATATGTGATTGCCCTCCTTTCCTTGTCTATAAAGTATAAAAAATAAACTGACCCAAAAGAAACTGAAACTTCAGTTCAAAATCCCTGTCCAGCCAACCACCTGTAGCGGCAGCAAGCTCTTCAACAAACCTAAATGATTTTACATCTCAATGACACATTTCTACAAATGTTTTATAGCCAGATGAAATATATCTGCAATCTTATCTATTCCGGCACTCTGTTGAGCTCATTACCACTTCATTAACCCCACAATTACCCGATTATCTCCAAGTGGTACTTGAATGTGTGACATTACTTGTGAAAATTGTATAATATCTCCCCAACTGGCTAAGCAAAGATAAATTTCAATTCCTGTGTAGTCAGCTTGGAGGGAAAGATTTGCCTCGCTGCCTGTTCTTCCTTCATTGATAGATCTCATAGACTGGCACAAGGCCCGGTATCCACTTCCATTGAGATGGCAAGACAATAGCTCTCCCTTAGCCAGCACCCTCCTCTCCAAGAACTCTACAGGATCCAAGCTCCACTCCATCTATGAAAAATTTAGTTTTCGTCTTACAGTTTAACTCCAGGCAAACATCTAAACACACACTTGTAATATATATATATATATATATATGATGTAGGTAGTTTATCTGAAGAATAATTTGTATTTTAGTTCATCCAGTCTAGAAATACACAGAAAACAGCCAGACAGGAGAGTTAGGATAGTGACCTGACTTTTCTCTGCTGAAGTAGCCCACCTAGATCATCTTTCTGTCCCTCTGAATGGACAGTGAAGGAGCAGCAGCAGGCAGATGAGCTGACAACTCTTCTGCTACCATGTTGCTTGTGAGCACATGTATACTGCAGCACACCACAATCACCCCCTAGTTCTATGTAGAAAAAGTCACTCGCACTCCAGCTTAGATTCAGTCAATATTTATTGACCTTTGTAGTGTCACATCATTATAGTAGCGACGTTTGGGAAAACACTCACTTTGTTTGCCTGAGGAAGGGACCATGTGGTTCCGAAACGCGGCTACTATATGATGTGCAACTACAGAGGTCAACAAATATTGACTGAATCTAAGCTGGAGTACGAGTGACTTTTTCTACATTGTACATTGATCTGCGGAGGCATCTGCTGTCACTTCAGGCACCACCCGACTTTAAGGGTATTGTCCGGTTAGGAGTTCAACTTTCACCCCTAGTTCTGCCTCTCCCAACCCAAGTTAGAGTTTTGCTGACAAGGCATTGCAAAAGGCACATTAAAGTAAGATATTTAAACTAGCTGCAATTAAAAATTTTTTGATGAATACAGAACTGCAGTCATTGTTTTTTTTATTGTTGCCTAGAATTCTGCTTTAAGAAATCCTCAGGTGAAAAATAAGGAAAGCCTTTTTTTTCTTTAAGCAGACAAAATGTTTGCTAACTAAATGTAATAACATTCTGTTAGGGTTCCTCCCTGCCATAACTCTTCCTTGGTTGAAAGAATGAAAACTATTTTAGAAGGTAAGACAGTTCATATATTATGTTAACCCCTACAAAGCCAAATTCAGGTGATGTGAAACGATAATAGGAATGCAATAAAGATTATGGGTAAAGATACAAAGTGAAATGTAGCTATTTCTCTACTACAAGTAAACTAGAAAACGTGTGGTTAAGTCCCACCAATACAAATAACTTCTGTCTATTAATACTTCTGTCTATTAATATGACAATATTCACTCGCTGGCTCTTGTATCTCTTGGAGACACCAGTAGCAAGATCTACATAGTTTTGTTTCTGGGTGCTTGCATCAAACTATTTCTGTAGCATACTCCACAATATCGATCAATTTAAAATCCCAAGAGGGGAAAAAAAGGTTCACTTCACAGAGGCTGGGGAATGTGTACAAAGCTAGAAAATCCAAGTGCGAGTAACTCACTGCCAACGGCCCCCAAAGAACCCGTTGCCTGGTGTCTTTCTCCAGCTGTGTATGGAACCTTTGGCTCAGCAAACCATTACAGTGGCTCAAGTCATGCTGGGTTATCATGAACTTCTACCTATGCAGCTTGATCAACTGAATTACACATGTGGTTAGACCAAGGGAGACACTTCAGCAAGGATAATTGAGTTTACCTGTTGTAGTCGCTGCTTCCTCTGACCTGCAGTGAAGGAAGGAGGGTCGCATTCTTGGTCCAAATCAACCTTCATAAATTCATCTATTGTTAACTGGCTCGTTGGGGTGTCTTCAAATTCGGTTAGCCTAAAAAACACACAAAACTGCACTGATTACAAAACACAAAGACAGCAGGAAAGCAAAAATTTGGAGGAGCCTCTACAGTTTTCTAACAGGTTTAAACTAATTTGTAGGAGTCTCAAAATTCAATTTTTTTTTATTTGCAGCTCATTCAGACTGCTCAAGTGCTATACTGGGTGCCTATGTTTTATCCATGGCATTAATGCAAATCTTAAGTGTAGAAAGAACTTCTACACCACTGGCAATGCATGGGAAGCACCTCCAAGAACATACTCTCAGCCCAGCATGCTGAGTTGATGTTGGTATATCAGAGCAGTCTTGGATTCAGGACACTGAATTAAAAAGTGAACCTGCAATGTCAAAGAAGCTTTGTACTGGCAACATCAGTTTAGATGTTTTTCAACATTTCTCAAAGCCAGATAATCTATAAGCCAACCTATGCAGAAGCGTTGGGCCCAGTAACTGCCAAAGTGGGTCCAGCTAAAACCTTTAGGCTCTTGCAGTAAACCAGGGAGATCTTGCAGTTGGTTAAAGCTGTGCACCTGCCTGTCACTTCACATAGGAGGATCCACTTTTAGGAAGCTAAAGTCTGATGGGGCAATGCCATTGTGTCTATTGCAATTTTTATTGCCAGTTGCAGAAATTGGGGTGGGGCAAAGCTGCTACCTTGCCTATGGCCCCATTCTACCTTAATCCATCTCTCACACATCTTTTAAAGTGTATTTCCACTTTTGCAGCCAAATTGGGAGCTAAAGAAAGTGTTCCATGCATAAAGTACTGCAGCGAATAGCAAACTGCAAATGCTCCCTTACCTCCAAGCCCAGTCCTGCACTGGGTAGAACATTACATGCAAAAGATTGCCAGCCACTGATAAGTATTTTCTGCAGCCATTTTGTATCTACAGTCAACTATCAGATGGGTAAATTCTAGGGATGCACTGATACTAGACTAGTAACCTGGTGACGAGGTAACATGGAGCCGGCTTCCCAGCCAATCAGGAAGCTGGGCGGTGTGTAATGACTCGCTGCCCAGCTTCCTGATTGGTCGATAAGCTGGTCAATCAAGAGTCATTACCCGCCCCCCGGCTTCCTGATTGGCCAGAAAGTTGGCTCCATGCTTCCTCGTAACCTGGTGACGAGGTAACATTGAGTCGGCTTCCTGGCTCCGTGTAATGACTCAACGCCTGGCTTCCTTATTGGTCGGGGAGCTGGCTAATCAGGAAGCCAGGCGGTGAGTCATTACCCGTTCCCCAGCTTCCTGATTGGCCGGAAAGCCAGCTTCATGCTTCGTCAGCTGGTGACGAGGGAACATGCCGCCCCGGCTTCCAGGGAAGCAAATCATTACACGCAGCCCGGCTTCCTTAATGGCACGTACCGGGAAAAAAATATATCAGTACTCAATACAGAAATACCGGTATCGGTGCATCCCTAGTAAATACCAATATCAACATTTCTAGAGGGAGGGGGTTGGTGTAGAACAGTGAACGTGGAGGATACTTGCAGTTATAGCAATATATACACTATATTGCCAAAAGTATTGGGACACCTGCCTTTACACGCACATGAGCTTTAATGGCACCCCAGTCTTAGTCCGTAGCGTTCAATATTGAGTTGGCCCATCCATTGCAGCTATAACAGCTTCAACTCTTCTGGGAAGACGTCCACAAGGTTTAGGAGTGTGTCTATGGGAATGTTTGACCATTCTTCCAGAAGAGCATTTGTGAGGTCATGTACTGATGTTGGACGAGAAAGCCTGGCTCACGTCTCCACTCTAATTCATCCCAAAGGTGTTCTATTGGGTTGAGGTCAGGCCAGTCAAGTTCCTCCAAACTCACTCTTCCATGTCTTTATGGACCTTGCTTTGTGCACTGGTGAACAGTCATGTTGGAAGAGGAAGGGGCCATCCCCAAACTGTTCCCACAAACTTGGGAGCATGAAATTATCCAAAATGTCTTGGTATGCTGATGCCTTAAGAGTTCCCTTCACTGGAACTAAGGGGCCAAGCCCAACCCCTGAACCCCCCCCTCCTTCCATAATCATCCCTCCACCAAACTTTACAGTCCAGTGGCAGCGTGCTTTACACCACTGCATCCGATGCTTTGAGTTGCACTAGGTGATTTAAGGCTTGGCTGGAGCTGGTTGGCCATGGAAACCCATTCCATGAAGCTCTCTACGCACTGTTGTTGTGCCAATCTGAAGGCCAAACACAGTTTGGAGGTCTGTAGCTATTCACTCTGCAGACAGTTGGCGCTCGTCATTTTACGTAGCCTACCACTTTGTGGCTGAGTTGCTGTTGTTCCCAGTTGCTTCCACTTTGTTATAATACCACTAAGGCTGGATTCACACCTAGGCGTATCGAATATTCGTGTTTGTTGCGCATTTCATGCTGCGCGTTTTTACCGCATTAAAAAAATGCGTGACAAACGCGTGTTTACAAGGGCTACCTGGCTGTATCCCAATGGATACGCGTGGCAAATACGCCCCCAAAGAAGCTCCTGTACTTCTTTGGGCGTTTTGCAGCGTGTTCCTACGCGCTGTAAAACGCCCAGGTGGGAACCATGCCCATAGGCAGTCAATGGTTTTCACATGTTGAGCGTTTTACAGAGCGTAGGAACGCGCTGTAAAACGCCCAGGTGTGAACCAGGCCGAACAGTTGACAGTGGAGTATTTTGTAGCAAGGAAATTTCACGGAATACCTGAATCCAAAGATTTGGAGGGTGTCCCAATACTTTTGGCAATATAGTGTATATATAAGAGGGGCATATAACTAAGATCCTGAGATTGATTTTTACCTGCGTTAAAAGCAGTGAGTATACAGCATTGAGTAGAACACCTGCAGCAAAAGCTTTTCAATAGCTGCTAAGTCGCTTCTAGCAGTAGTTCATAGGGGAAAATCAGCTCCTGACAATAGAAAACAATGCTTCTCCAGCTTGTAACTCGGAGCAGAAACAGCACCCATGAAAACATATGAGCACTTTGTCCTCAGCAGATAACCAGCTAAACCAATTATCCTCAGTAGATATGGAGTGCTTTGGAAAAACACAACCCCCACAATGCATCCCGCCATCCTTCCGATGAATACAACTCAAGTCTGCAGTAGCCTCAGACTGAACCCACAACTACAGGCTGTGTTATACATCTAATTCTTTTCCAACTTCCACCGACTTCAGTAATCTCAAACATCGAAAATGAAAACAATAGAGGATCAATTTAAAAATGACAAAAGGACTCTGTGGATTCACACAATAAACGTAGCAATATTTTCGTTCTCGCCTTTTCTGGCACAAAGGATTCACTTCACTCATTTACCTTCTGTCAGAGGAAATCACACTGTCCTCTCACAAGAGTTGAGCGCAGGAATGACTTATTGCAAAATGTAAACGATAGAGCTGAAATACGTAGTTGCTCTTTACTGGGAGGTGTCAGACTTGCCAACACAGACCCTTCAGTTGTGATTGAACAATGAGTCCCCATTCACACCTAAGAGTAGTGGAAACACGCATCGCATTCGTGCATGTTTGTTTTACCGCATTTGCAGCACGTCCCCCATTAAGTTCAACGGGTTCCTGGTCAAAACCAATTGATGTATGGCCTGCGTTACATGCTTGCATGTATTCTTTTTTACAAATGTGCAATCAAATACGGTAAGCGGATTCTAAAAAGAAGCTATTGTTGTTCATTGTAAATACATATCTTTTGTTAATCTTTATCATCAAGCTCATAAGTCGTAATAGCTGGTTGATTTGATTGACACATATAGCCTTTAAAACCTCAGGACATAAACCTGCATGGGATGAAGGAGCACTTGCAAGACCCCCAGAGATCAGGTGATGCTGGAAGCGCATTTAAGCCCAATGGCTGCAGTAATTTCATACTCACCTCTGCAGGGAGCCGGCTGGTAGAAGGACTCAGACTCGTTACATTTCACTTTTAATCTTTTATTTCCAGGAGGATTCAAAGGCTTTAAAATGTGGCCTTTTTGCAGCACAGCATGCAGGCGCACATGAAAAAAAACGAAAGGCGTCGGAGTTATCCTACGGCAGACACCCCACTGGAGGAAGCATCTAGGGCAGATCATCTCTTATGTTCAGTCCTTAGATGGATGGCAAGGATTCAGATGGTGCCTTCTGCCAGTTTGGAAATAAACAACTCCTTTGTTTATTGGACGTCTGGGCTGTTTTCATGCCTGGCAATCGCTAGTGTAAATTTTGAAGTGATACAGTGTAAATTAGGTCAGCATCATGTTCCAGACCAGTATCACCTTTACATGGGCAAAGATGTTCAGAAATTAGCAGGTATATTCCAAATACAGTTGGATGAAACAAGATGTGTTACTCAGAGCAGCCAGATTCTTGCTTTTCATTACTAGCTCCCCTTCAAAGACTTTTATTGTGCTTGTGCCAAACCACAGTTAAAGTGTATGCAAACTCAATGTAAAAAAATGTAATTGTAAAACCTCAGCAGTGTCAAGTCCCTTTCCCTCAAAGCAGGGGTGTCAAACTCAATTTAATCGTGGGCCGCATCAACATTATGGTTGCCATTAACGCTATCTGTAAGACTATATAAATGTATCTTATCTTTATCATAATTGCCTCTGCGTTCGATTATCACTGGTTTTAGTAATAATTAAATAACTAGATCTGAAAGTAGAAGTCTAGGAAATGGCCTGGTGGGTCGGATTCGCCCCTGGGCCTTGAGTTTGACACATGTGCCTTAAAGGATAAATTCTCCATTTGCAAAAATTAAAGAAATGCATAATTAATAATATTTATAAAAATATGCATTTCTTTAATATTTGCATTCAAGCCTGGAAACATTGCAAGTGTGATCACTCGATCCCAGCCACAAAGCTCAGGCTTCTTCATGTTCTCTCCCAGGCAGAGCTCGTACTGAGGTACAGAGTTTCAGTTAGGCGAGATAGGGAAGGACGGCTAGACTTCAAACTGCATTAAAATCACCTCATACCGCGTCCAGCCGTCCTCCCTCTGGTTAAATGTGGTAGAGCTG